AATATGAAATATATTGTTTGAATGTTGCCTAAACACATCATAACAATAAGTGTGCAATTAGGTTTTTATAAATATGAAATATATTGTTTGAATGTTGCCTAAACACATCATAACAATAAGTGTGCAATTAGGTTTTTATAAATATGAAATAAGTTGTTTGAATGTTGCCTGAACACATCATAACAATAAGTGTACAATAGTAGCCATCCAAATCAAGTTTCTTTAAATATGAAATAAATTGTTTGAATGTTGCCTGAACACATCATAACAATAAGTGTACAATAGTAGCCATCCAAATCCCAACTGTTGTTTAGAGGACCTACGAGTGTGTTCTGTACCAACTGTTGTTTAGAGGTCCTACCAGTTTGTTCTGTACCAACTGTTGTTTAGAGGACCTACCAGTGCGTTCTGTTCCAACTGTTGTTTAGAGGACCTACCAATGTGTTCTGTACCAACTGTTGTTTAGAGGATCTACCAATGTGTTCTATACCAACTGTTGTTTATGGAAAAACAATGTTTCATTTTGTAAAAACTGTTGTTTAGAGGACATACCGGTGTGTACTGTACCAACTGTCGTTTAGAGGACCTACCAGTGTGTTCTGTACCAACTGTTGTTTATGGAACCACAATGATTCATCTTGTACAAACTGTTGTTCATGTGTTTTCTTGTACCAATTACTATTTATGGTTTCTACTCATACAACTTGCTTATTTGTATGAACTGTTACTTAAAGATTCTGTACTTATGGTTTTGTACCAGTCACTGTTTAGACCTGTATGTTCTATTAAAGAAATCTCTATGTGCTTACTTATGAAACATGTAAATAAAATAATAAGTGTGTATTTTTTAATACTAAGAAAACTTGTATGCATTTCTTGTATAAACTGTTTACATGAATAGTTTGTGCTGAACTGTTTAGTTATCAAACTGAGCTGGTTTGTCACTGAAAAGTTAATTATTATTAATCTGGCTAATTTGTTGCTGAACTGGGAATTTTATCCATTTCTTTGTTTTCTGGGTTTGAAGCTACACCCCAGTGTTGAAGTTCTGCAGAACCAAATACCACAAAGAGTAAGTTAGTCACAATATAGAATCCTATAGAACTGGAAAACACTAGAGTCCATCGGTAGAGAGTTTCCTGAAATAAAACATGAAGTAATCTTCTTTTTTTTAAAACCTTTATAATGTTCAATTAATATCAAAGTAGAAAAAGATATACAGTGCATCTCAAAACATGTTTACCAAAGTAATCAATCATCTATATTGTATACATTAAGTTAGTGGACTACTTATGACAACAGTATTAGAGTACATCTGGTTACCTGAAATGGTAACCCTCATCAACATTCAGTTAGTGGACTACTTATGACAACAGTATTAGAGTACATCTGGTTACCTGAAATGGTAACCCTCATCAACATTCAGTTAGTGGAGTACTTATGACAACAGTATTAGAGTACATCTGGTTACCTGAAATGGTAATCCTCATCAACATTCAGTTAGTGGACTACTTATGACAACAGTATTAGAGTACATCTGGTTACCTGAAATGGTAACCCTCATCAACATTCAGTTAGTGGACTACTTATGACAACAGTATTAGAGTACATCTGGTTACCTGAAATGGTAACCCTCATCAACATTCAGTTAGTGGACTACTTATGACAACAGTATTAGTGTACATCTGGTTACCTGAAATGGTAACCCTCATCAACATTCAGTTAGTGGATTACTTATGACAACTTTTAAGTGTATTGTATAACTTCCAATAATTCTAATATCATAATAAGGTTCATTTTTCAATCCCATTCTGTAGTCTATCCTTGAAACTCCAGTAACATTTTTATATTAAAAATTGTAAAACTGAAGTTATTTCATAGTATGTAAGGTGCATGAACAAAATTAAAACTGTAAAACAGTTGACACAAAATGTCATTCAGCAGGCATGTCAAATTCTATAAACATTTTATTAATACTCACCAACACTATAAAACAGTTGACACAAAATGTCATTCAGTAGGCATGTCAAATTCTATAAACGTTTTATTAATACTCACCAACACTATAAAACAGTTGACACAAAATGTCATTCAGTAGGCATGTCAAATTCTATAAACGTTTTATTAATACTCACCAACGCTATATAACACAATATCACGAGTCAGACTTTTTAATGTATTACATTAAAAAGAAGCAAGGTTAACTTAGGTGGCCTAAGTACAGTCAGTACATCAAATTCTACATAACGTTTTCTTTGTATTTTTTTTATACTCACATTTTCCTGTGTTAAAACTCCAACAAAATAAGGAGCAAGAAAACCACTGATATTCCCAAATGCGTTAGTAATTCCCATCAGAGTCCCTAAAGAGAAGAAACATGTGTAGAGTGATCTTTTAGTTTTATGAAATCACATCCTCTTTTGCAAGAAACAATAACAAGCAAAACAAATAGAACACTTTTAAAACATTTATTTTAACGACTTTCAGAAAGTTAATGTCATAGAACATCATGTAGGCTTAACGAATGGAAGTTTAGGTAGGATGAAGAATCTTTGACACATGGAATAATGGCTATCAAGGTAATCATGATATCTAACACCTACAATAGCAGCTTACTTACGGTAAAGGATCCATGACACACATGGAATAATGGCTATCAAGGGAATCATGATATCTAACATTTACAATAGCAGCTTATGTAGGGTAAAGGATCCATGACACACATGGAATAATGGCGAACATAGGAATCATGATATCTAACATTTACAATAGCAGCTTATGTAGGGTAAAGGATCCATGACACACCTGGAATAATGGCTATCAAAGGAATCATGATATCTAACACCTACAATAGCAGCTTACTTACGGTAAAGGATCCATGACACACATGGAATAATGGCTAACATAAAAATCATGATATCTAACACCTACAGTAGCAGCTTACATAGGGTAAAGGATACTTGACACCTGGAATAATGGCTAACATAGGAATCATGATATCTAACACCTACAATAGCAGCTTACTTATGGTAAAGGACCCTTGACACCTGGAATAATGGCTAACATAGGAATCATGATATCTAACACCTACAATAGCAGCTTAGTTATGATAAAGGACCCTTGACACCTGGAATAATGACTATCAAGGGTTTCATGACAGATAACACCTACAATAGCAGCTTACAGCTTAAGAATACATGGCACTTAAACCAACAAATTACAATTTTATTTTAATACCTCCAGATGGAACCTAACCAACAAATCTTATTGTAATATGTCCAAACAAAACCTAACTAACACATCTTATTGTTATGATGTGTTCAGGCAACATTCAAACAACTTATTTCATATTTAAAGAAACCTGATTTGGATGGCTACTATTGTACACTTATTGCTATGATGTGTTCAGGCAACATTCAAACAATTTATTTAATATTTATAAAAACATAATTGCACACTTATTGTTATGATGTGTTTAGGCAACATTCAAACAATATATTTCATATTTAAAGAAACATCTTAGAGGACCCACAAGTGTGTTCTGTACCAACTCTTGTTTAGAGGACCTTCCATATGTTCTGTACCAACTGTTGTTTAGAGGACCTACAAGTGTGTTCTGTACCAACTGTTGTTTAGAGGACATTCCAGTTTGTTCTGTACCAACTGTTGTTTAGAGGACCTACCAGTGTGTTCTGGACCAACTGTTGTTTAGAGGACCTACCAGTGTGTTCTATACCAACTGTTGTTTATGGAACCACAATGATTCATCTTGTAGTAACTGTTGTTTAGAGGACCTTCCAGTGAGTTCTGTACCAACTGTTGTTTAGAGGACCTACCAGTGAGTTCTGAACCAACTGTTGTTTAGAGGACCTACGAGTGTGTTCTGTACCAACTGTTGTTTAGAGGACCTACCAGTTTGTTCTGTACCAACTGTTGTTTAGAGGACCTACCAGTGAGTTCTGTACCAACTGTTGTTTAGAGGACCTACCAGTGTGTTCTGTACCAACTGTTGTTTAGAGGACCTAAGAGTGTGTTCTGTACCAACTGTTGTTTAGAGGACCTACCAGTGGGTTCTATAACAACTGTTGTTTAGAGGACCTACCAGTGCGTTCTGTTCAACAGTTGGTACAGAACACACTGGTAGGTCCTCTAAAGAACAGTTGGTACAGAACACACTTGTAGGTCCTCTAAACAACAGTTGGTATAGAATACACTGGTAGGTCCTCTAAACAACAGTTGGTATAGAATACACTGGTAGGTCCTCTAAGCAAC